TCAGTAAAAAATTTTAAATGTCAGTGACTTGATCCCCAATTTATATGGGATTGATAAACTGAGAATTAGTGAAAGCTTCTATTCTCTGTCAGTAAGAATTTACTTCCTGACATTGTATCTAAGTCTCTGTTTACATTTATTATATGTATGAATATGGAGGCAGGTGACTACATGTGAACTTTGACATTTATCACAGGCCCAGACCAAAGAAAATGTAACCTTCTGGAATAGAAACTGTTCTCTCACCTTTATGTTATTTTCTAAATTTTTGTCTGGGGTGTTATTATGAAATATGTTTCCCTTCTTTTTTTCTTTCCTTTTTTTTTTTTCATGTTTCCCTTCTTAACTTTGAGTTGCTTTAGCTTAAAGCTTTTTGATAAAGTAGAAGGAGCAAGAATAATTGGTTACTTGCTTATATTAAGATTTGTTGGGTGGGTGAAAAGGTGACAGTAGGCATTTAATATGTAGACCAACATGGGGAGTAAAGTTATAAAACTTCTTGAGTTTTGTACTTAACATCATATGTATGTAATTAAGACGAGAACTTGAACTTTCCATGACACAAGAACCTGTGTCGTTACCACTATGTACTTTGCCTTAAGAATTCAGTTTGTCCTACAAAAGGATTTTGAAAATAAATCATGGAAGGACCCGTATAGAAGTCCTTTTTTTTTCTTGGTGCAGAAATGTTATTATTTTTAAATCCTTAACTCTAGAAAATATGTTAGTAGGTTAAAATTTGTGTCTTTATAAACTGTATGTAATACTCCATGAAGACTGAATATTAAACAGCAGTGCTTGGGTGTTCTAGAGCCATAATTAGACTACTGTTTGCAAATTGCCAAAATTCAGTGGGTTAACAAACCAATTAAAAAAAAAAACCTCAAGGATATTAGATTTCAAAATGTTCTTCCTTAATTTAGTTTGTCCATTATACTTTATATTAATTATTCATAGTATTGCTTAACATGCCAGGAAATGTCTTATAATAGAATTTATAAAATAACGTCCTTTCAGTAAGATGAATATGTACTGTCTTTAGCATTCTGCTTTTAAATCTCAGATTAAAATATTTTATAAGGAATTATCTAGTTTAATGGATAAAAGCATGTCTTTGCTTAGTAACTTTATTCATTTTAGAATTTTTTAATCAAATGCTCGAGAATAATAAATGGAATAATTGGTATATGTCATTTTGTTGTTGAGTAAATAAGATACAACTTTTTGTAATAAGAAAAATGTATATTCCACTATCATTAAACAATAATTTTTCATTTGGGGTATGGCTTTATGAAGTTGATCTATATATATTTGTGTGGTTTTCTATTTTTTATTTTTTTCTTGTATAGACCCAATTGGTAGATTGTTCATTTTCATGAAAAGCATAGTCTTTGACTACTGGTCTTTCCTGGGTCCTGCTAGATACTTAACGAATATAAGATTTGTTTACATATCATTAGACTTCAGTGGGTAAGTTAGAGGTGAAATATAACAACAGGTCTGAAGATACAAGTTCCAGTTGAAACCCTGGGCATTTAATTGCGTTTGGTTCTGTTAGGAGGTGAAAGTAAGCAGGAAAGAGCTTGTCTTTTAGTATTGGTCTGGATTTTTGCATATCCAGATGCAAAAAATCTACTTTTATCTTATTCTGTTTCTTATTCTTACTATTCATGACAGAGGTTCAGAAACTGGTTAAGTATGAACTCAGATTGTGTTCCTAGATAGAAAGCTTATTTATAGGTTTTATATTCTGAGGTGTTTATGTGAGTAAAAATATTGGTAACACATTTAAAATGAAATAGAGATTAATTCTTTCCTCATGATTATACAGTAGTAATTGCTGGAAATTTTTCAGTCCATTTGATGTTAGGTGAAATCTTTGTTCTTTTATTTATTTATTTTTGCTTTATATATACATTATTGAAGTATAGTTGACTTACGGTGTTTCAAGTGTACAGCAAGGCTGATTCAGTTATATATATACACACATGTTTCAGATTATTTTTCATTAAAGGTTATTATGAGATATTGACTATAGCTCACTGTGTTATACAGTAAACCTTTGTTGCTTGTTGCATATCTATGTTTTTATTTATTTATTTTTCATTTATTTTTATTAGTTGGAGGCTAATTACTTCACAACATTGCAGTGAGTTTTGTCATACATTGACATGAATCAGCCATGGATTTACATGTATTCCCCATCCCGATCCCCCCTCCCACCTCCCTCTCNTTGGTGCAGTTAATCCTTTTATATTAAGGTAATAATTGATATGTATGATCTTATTACCATTTTCTTAATTGTTTTGGGTTTATTTCCTGTTGGTCTTTTCCTTGTCTTGTGTTTCCTGCTTAGAGAAGTTCCTTTAGTATTCATTGTAAAACGTTTAGTGGTGCTGAATTCTCTTAACTTTTGCTTGGCTGGAAAGCTTTTGATTTCTCCATCTAATAAGGAGAGTCTTGCTGGGTAGAGTATTCTTGGTTGTAGTTTCTTCCCTTTCGTCACTTTAAATATATCATGCTGTTCCCTTCTGGTTTGTAGAGTTTCTGTTGGGAAATCAGCTGATAACCTGATGAGAATTCCCTTGTATGTCATTTGTCATTTTCCCCTTGTTGTTTTTAATAATTTATCTTTGTCTTTAATTTTTGTCATTTTGATTACTATATGTCTTGGTGTGTTCCTCCTCGGGTTTATCCTGCCTGGGTCTCTCTGTGCTTACTGGGCTTGGTTAACTGTTTCCTTTCCTTTCCCATGTTAGGAAAGTTTTCAGATATTATCTCTTCAAATATTTTCTCAGATCCTTACTCTTTCTCCTCCTTCTGGAACCCCTATAATGTGAATGTTGGTGCATTTAATGTTGTCTCAGAGGTCTCTTAGGCTGTTTTCATTTTTTTGTTTGTTTTTCTCTTTGTCTATATTCTGTCCTGTAGCAGTGATTTCCCCATTGTGTCCTCCAGGTCATTAATCTGTTCTTCTGCCTCGATTACTCTACTGAGGATTCTTTCTAGTGTATTATTCATTTCTTTTTGTTCTTTAGTTCTTGTAGGTTTTTGGTAAACATTTCTTGCATCTTTTCGATTGTTTTCCCAAGATCCTAAATCATCTTCACTATCATTATTCTGAATTATTTTTCTGGAAGGTTGCCTATCTCCAGTTCATTTAGTTGTTTTTCCGGAGTTTGATCTTGTTCCTTCATCTGGGACATAACTTTCTGCTTTTTCATTCTGATTAACTTTCTGTAATATGGTTTTTGTTCTAGCTGCTGTGGGGTTGTGATTCTTCTTGCTTCTTCTGTCTGCCCTCTGATGAAGGAGGCTAAGAGGCTTGTGTAGGCATCTGGATGAGAGGAATTGATGGTGGGAAAAACTGGGTCTTGCTCTGGTGGGCAGGATCTTTCTCAGGAAAGCTTTAATCCAGTTATCTGCTGATGGATGGGGTTGAGCTGTTTGGTCTGAGGCAGGCCAGCCCTGGGGTCTGTGGGCTCTATGGTAGGGTTAACTGTGAACCTCAAGAGGGTTTACACCAAGGGGGACCTTCCAGGAGTGCTGCTGCCAGGGCCTCCGTCTTTGTGGTTAACCCCGGCCAATCACACCTCCACTAGAGACCCTCCAACACTAGCAGGTAGTTTTGATTCAGTCTCCTGTGGGGTCTCTGCTTCTTTCTTCTGGGTCCTGGTGTGCACAAGATTTTGTTTGTGCCCTCCAAGACTGGAATCTCTTTTTCCTCCAGTCTTGTGGAAGTCCTATAATCAAATCCCTCTGACCTGCAAGGGCAGGTTCCCTAGGGATTCCCAGTCTCTTTGTGGGATCCCTGATCTGGGAAACGTGATGTGGGGTTTAGAACCTTCACGACAGTGGGAGAACTTCCTTAGTATTATTGTTTTCCAGTCTGTGGGTCACCCACCCAGCAGATTTGGGATTTGATTTTATTATCATTGTGCCCCTCCTACCATCTCACTATAGCTTCTTCTTTGTCTTTGGATGTGGGCTATCTTTTCTTGGTGAGTTCTAGCATTCTCCTGTCGATGGTTATTCAACAGCTAGTTGTGAATTTGGTGCTCTCACCGGAGGTGATGAGTACACGTCTTTCTACTCCTCCATCTTGAACAAGAAGCCTGAAATCTTTGTTCTTTTAGGTTTTTCTTTCCTTTCCTTTTATTTTTCTTCCTTTTTTTTGGTTTTGTTGTTGTTGCTAGTGGATGGGAGACATATTCCTTAACTGAAGAAGTTTGGTTAGAAAAAAAATTGCTCTTTATTTAAAATTGAGAATTATTTTATTTCTTTTTGAGGTCTTGTGATTCTTCATATTAAAAAGTTATTAAAATGTAATATTATCTACTTCAGTATGTGACCTTTGGCTGTTTTTCCCACCTCCTTTTCAATCTTTGCTACAGTTGCATGCCACTCCCTAAATATAATCTGCTTTAGTTGTTTTAGTTCATTATAATCCATGGTCTCCATGTACCTTTTCATTCTCATATTTCTAGAAATTACCTGCTTATCCTTGAGGTAACACCTAACTGAGGTGTTAATTCTCTACAAATCACTGAATTATTCTTGTCTCCATCCCTCCACAGAATTAATTCCCTCTCTTCCTTTTGTCATCATAGCCCTTTATAGGTGGCTCCAAAACAGCTAGCTATTCATCATAGACGTGTCGTAGTTATTAAGAGTGGGGGCCATGTGTTACCCAGCCTTGTCGTGTCTAGGACAAGCATGAAGCGAACATTTGTTGAATTGAAATGTTCAGAACGCCATGCTTGTCATGATTGAGAAAACAACTTGCCTCATTAAATTCCTCGATCACGGTTGCCCGCACTCACTGTTGCTTGCATACCCTATTCCCACCTGTTCTATGGTGGTTGTCGGGTTCTATTAAAATGCATTTGGGAGCACTCAGCAGAGGATCATCTTGAGGAGCTGGAGTGCAAGGGGACTGGTGTTTAGCCTTCATTGACGTTTCATTTTGAGAGTCTGCTTTGCTTCGCACTTTTCTGCAGGATCCTAACAGGAGCATCCATACCAGCAGCAGCAGCAGCAGCAGCAGTTGTAGCAGCAGCAGCAGCAGCAGCAGTAGCAGCAGCAGCAGCAGCAGTAGCAGCAGCAGCAGCAGCAGCAGCAGTAGCAGCAGCAGCAGCAGCAGCAGCAGCACCAGTTTTTCCAAGCCTCACAAATTAATGAAGGAGCACAAGGAAAAACCTTCTAAAGACTCCAGAGAACATAAAAGTGCCTTCAAAGAACCTTCCAGGGATCACAACAAATCTTCCAAAGAATCCTCTAAGAAACCCAAAGAAAATAAACCACTGAAAGAAGAAAAAATCGTTCCTAAGATGGCCTTCAAGGAACCGAAACCCATGTCAAAAGAGCCAAAACCCGACAGTAACTTACTCACCATCACCAGTGGACAGCAAGATAAGAAGGCTCCTAGTAAAAGACCCCCCATTTCAGATTCTGAAGAACTCTCAGCCAAAAAGAGGAAAAAGAGTAGCTCAGAGGCTTTATTTAAAAGTTTTTCTAGCGCCCCGCCACTGATACTCACTTGCTCTGCTGATAAAAAACAGATAAAAGATAAATCTCACGTCAAGATGGGAAAGGTCAAAATTGAAAGTGAGACGTCAGAGAAGAAGAAATCAACTTTACCGCCATTTGACGATATTGTGGATCCCAATGATTCCGACGTGGAAGAGAATATGTCCTCTAAGTCTGATGTGAGTAGTCTGCTTGTTTTTTCTCCTTTTGCTTGTTAGTGTTTTGATAGCTTCAGGATAAAGATGGAGGAAGAAAAATGACAGTTGCACCATAAAATGGTAGCAAGAAACGAGACACGGCCTAGAAATGAATTTCCTTGACCAATTGAAGAAGGGAATGAAATCATTAAGGAGTCTGCAGATGTGTAGGCTATGCTTTAAGTTGTTTAAGGAAAGATATATTCCATGGTATAATAACGGGTTATTTGAATAGCAGCTGAAAAATCTAGATGCTCATCAGGACTTAGCTGCTATGCTTTTCAGTGACTGTGGATTTAGGAAAGTGAGAAGACTGCAATGCAACTAGAATACATCAGAAAGTAAATTTTAAAAAGAAACAAATATCAGGGTGCAGTTACAGTGTTGACCTTTTTGTTCAATAGAATTATGTAGTTTGTTTACATAGACTAAAAATTGGTGATAGTATTTTTTCAGTACTTTTATTGAGGCAAAAGTTTTATAACAATATACTATATATTTTACATGTGTGATTTGATACATTTTGATGTATATGTATGTCATGAAACCAGATAATGGTATTTTGAAAATGAAATATTTAATTTTTTCCCCCCAATAATATAACTGCCCGTTTGGAAAGGGCAGTGTATAATCTTCATTAAAAGGTTTGCTGATGGGTGGTATTGTCTTTTGTGTGTTCCTTAAAGAACATCTAGCCATCTAATAATCCCCCAAAATATTATTTGATGTTAAGACTTAAACTTACAATTACAGATTTCTTAAGAGTTGGAAAGGAATTTCAGGTTATCTATTCTAACCTCCTTCCAATGTAGGAGATCCTACATTTATAGTGACAGTACTGTTAGTTATCCCCTTCTATTTCTGGAGACTGAACATTATTTACTATGAAGTTATCTCTTCCTCACTTCCCATTTTTCTCTAACTTTGGCCCTCTGCTGTTACTCATCAGTCATGATTGGTCCCACTAATCTCTTTGAGTTGTCGGTATTTCTAGACAATGGTCAGGGAAGACTTATGGCTAAAAATCGCCGATCATTTTAGAATACTTCTCTTTCTGTTACATAGAGAGGCTACACTCTACACTAAAGTTCCTACCTCAAAGGCTGGCAAGGGCTAGGAGGCCTTAGCAGATTCTCCATTTGCACTGGTCTGGGTAGAAAGGCAGCCAGGGATAGGACATGGCATCAGATCAAGAGACCACCTCCTTCCTCCCTACTCTCTGTAGAGTATTTTGAGCTCACGTCAAAATTTTAAATCAGATTAGGGGCAGAGTAGCATATAAAACACTGGAGATGGGGCAGTCTGTTCCAATGTTTGGTAAAGGCCTTAAAGTGATCATTTGTGAAATGGAGATGAAAGCAATAGATTTCACAAGCATTTATTTTTCCTCCTTTGCTTTATTCCTCTCCTCTTAATTCACAACTTGCTCTCAATACAGAACTTTTTTGGTATGTTTGACTTTTATTTCAAGTCACTCTGAAATGCTCGTTGATGCTGTTGGGGTGTGACCAGTCTATCAAGATCGTCAAGTTTAGCAACTTTGTCGCTCCATATTCTGTCCTGTTGTAGTTCTTCTAGAACAGAGGTTTTCCAGTTGTGGTTTGTGATTTACTAGTGAGCCATGAAATCAATTTAGCGTGTCATCACCAGCATTAAAAAGGGAAATAAGAATATATTGTAACTAGTATGGGTAAGTAATGGTTTGTGAAATTTTTATTTCAGAGACTGTGTGTGTATTTCTTACAGTAGTAGGTCATCATCAAAATTTTGAAATGCACCTTTCTTGAATATTTGCTGATTTGTGAGAAGACCAAATAACATTAATAAAACACTATTTTTAAAAAATCCTTACTTATTTGGTTGCATTGAATCTTGGTTGTGGCTCTCGGGCTTCAGTAGTTGCAGCTTTCGGCCTCTAGAGCACAGTCTCAGTAGTTGCCACTTGGGCTTAGTGGCCCTGTAGAATGTGGGTTTTTAGTTTCCTGACAGGGATTGCGCCCATGTCCCCTGGATTGGAAGGCAGATCTTAACCACTAGACCACCAGGGAAGTCCCCATAAAGCACTATTGAATGAGCTTTCTACATGAAGTTATCACAAATGATCTTCCTCTTTAGCTAACTCTGTGTATTCTTAGTTTTGTTTGATTCTTGCCCCCTCCCTTTCATATGTAATTTTAAAGATACAACTTTTCCTAAATTTCATGTTCAACTTGATAAATTTATCCAAAGCATTATCTTGAAAAACCTTCTGGAATGAAGAGTTAGAGTTGTAATTCCATTTGGTAGATAGGAAATTTGTAAGATGGTTCATGACATATTAGAGCCACCTATCCAGTGATTGTAATGGGGGTTTTTGTAGTAGTTTGCATATCATTAAAGCCTCTAAAGACTTTTGGGTATTCAGTTAAATTGAGTCGCTGAGTTGTGTCCAACTCTTTGCAAGCCAGGATTGCAATATGCCAGACTTCCCTGTCCATCACCAACTCGCAGAGTTTGCTCAAGCTCATGTCCATTCAGTCAGTGATGCCAGCCAACCATCTCATCCTCTGTCGTCCCCTTTCGCTTCTGCCTTCGATCTTTCCCAGCATCAGGTTCTTTTCTAATGAGTCAGTTCTTTGCATCAGGTGGCCAAAGTATTGGAGTTTCAGCTTTAGCATCGGTCCTTCCAATGAATATTCAAGACTGATTTCCTTAAGGATTGACTGGTTTGATCTCCTTGCAGTCCAAGGGACTCTCAAGAGTCTTCAACAACCCAGTTAAAAGGATCAATTCTTTCATGCTCAGCTTTTTTTATGGTCCAGCTCTCACATCCATACATGACTACTGGAAAAGCCATAGCTTTAACTAGATGGACCTTTGTTGGCAAAGTAGTTTCTCTGCTTTTTAATATCTGCCTAGGTTTGTCATGGCTATTCTTCCAAGGAACAAGCATCTTTTAATTTAACGGCTGCAGTCACCATCTGTAGTGATTTTGGAGCCCAAGGAAATAAAGTCAGTCCCTGTTTCCATTGTTTCCCCACCTATTTGCCACGAAGTGATGGAACCAGATGCCATGATCCTCATTTTTTGAAAGTTGAGTTTTAAGCCAACCTTTTCACTCTGCTCTTTCACTTTCATCAAGAGGCTCTTTAGTTCCTCTTTGCTTTCTGCCATAAGGGTGGTGTCATCTGGTGCTTGCTTCGGCAGCACTTGGGGGATGGTTTTGATCACCTCCTCCTGTACACTGTTACGAACCTCTGTCCATAGTTCTTCAGGCACTGTGTCTATCAGATCTAATCCCTTGAATCTGTCACTTCTGCTGTATAATTGAAGGGATTTGATTTAGGTTATACCTGAATGGTCTAGTGGTTTTCCCTAATTTCATCAATTAATGTCTGAGTTTTGCGATACGGAGTTCATGATCTGAGCTACAGTCAGCTCCCAGTCTTGTTTTTACTGACAGTATAGAGCTTCTCCATCCTCAGCTGCAAAGAATATAATCTGATTTCAGTATTGGCCATCTCATGATGTCCATGTGTAGAGTTGTCTCTTGTATTGTTGGAAGAGGGTGTTTGCTATGACCAGTGCGCTCTCTTGGCAAAACTCTGTTAGCCTTTGCTGTGTTTCATTTTGGGGTTATTTAGGTATAAAATCCAACAATGGTACTTTCCTTATTGGTTTTCTAGTAGTGCCTTTATCTTTGCTGCTATTGGTTTAATATTCTAAATATAGGTGGTAGAACAGAAAAGAATTGACTAAAAGTTATTTGAAGTAAGCCAGGGTCCAAAAGACTTTATGTGTGCAAAGGAGGATAAAAGAGGGTTGAAATTCCCTTTCTCTACTGGATAAGGTAGCTTGTGTTTGGCCTTTCTGCTACCTGGTGACCTTTCTGTGGTTAAGACCAAAGGAACAGGAAGCAATTGTAATGGAGAGCACTAAGCTACCCCTGGCCTCCCTTGGCAAGCAATTGATCGGATAGCTTGGGACAGACCCACCTTCAAGGACACCATTCCCATTTTCCTGATGGTGAGCCTTTCTGCATCTGAGTAAGTAGGATCAGATGACCTGATCTGTCTGAGGACCTTTCCGGCTTCATTATTTGAACATCAGTCAGATTTATGTTCAGTGGTGGAGGGCTGGATAGAGGGTAATTTTGCACATAGCAGGCAGAGATCATGGACTTTAGGAGCAGTAGAAGGACACAAAAGGAAATTGAACGAAGTATGAAGAATTGGGAAGGGCCAGGGGAAAAAGATTATTCATCTGGTATGTCTGTAAAGAAAGTATCTTATCTTGACACAGGATAGTTTGGATTAAAAGGAAATGAAAGTGAAGTCGCTCAGTCATGTCCAACTCTTTGCGACCCCATGGACACCAGGCTCCTCCATTCATAGGATTTTCTAGGCAAGAGTACTGGAGTGGGTTGCCATTTCCTTCTCCAGAATTAAAAGGAAGAATTTTTTAAAAGAAGCTTTTCCATAATTGTTAGATTTGGGTTTTATATAAAAAATAAAAATCAATGCTGTTAAGATGGGTTAGGAAGCTTAGATTGTTGATTCATATGTTTCTTCGTTTGATTCTCTTCGTATGTTTCTTGGTTATGATTTTTATATACTTTGATTTTTTAAAATATATATATTTACTTATTTATTTATTTGGCTGTATTGGGTCTTAGCTGCAACACGTGAGGTCTTTTGTTGCAGACCACAGGCTCTTCATTTGTGGCATGTGCTCAGAAGTTTGCAGTTTGTGGGCTTAGTTGCTCTATGGCATGTAGGATCTTAGTTTCCCTACCAGAAATTGAACTCATGTCCCCTGCATTAGAAGATGGATTCTTAACCACTAGACCACCAGAGAAGTCCCTGATTTTTATATACTTTGTATGTGAGTACTCAGAGAAAAAAGAAGTGCATCCTTGGTTTATATGCCTGTATGATTTTTGAGGAACCATTTATTTGTTGATGTGCGTGTGGGTAGGGAGATAGTAATCAAGTAATTAGGAG